ACACCCCTCATTCTCAGCATGGGCAGACGCTGTGAAACCTGCCTAGCAGTCAGGGGAGATCATATCCCCCTACTAAAGACCGGATGTTTTGTGCTGACACCCATCACAGGGATGTTTCGGCCTTCAGTCGCATTGCGCTCCATGCTACTTTTTCAATCAAGCTTTTTTTATCCCTCTGATTTCTCTTTTAGTAAGTGTTGTGCATTACACATGTCCTTACGTATTGGGGATCTTACGGTATTAAATGTGTTGATTTGGAAAGCTTTTGTACAGTTATATTGAAAACCGTCTCGTCCTTAATTTTTGTACACCCAGTGTATATATATATCGTTTTGCATCAACAAAAAATATTTGTTAGAATTAACAAAAATTTCTCTGATAATTTGATTTTTTTAAAATGAAGTTAACGAATTGTGAGGTTAACGCTGAGTCATGTTTATCTGTTTTAAGCTTACTTTACAGGTTTATTTTTTCTTACTTTTAAAGTCATCCTAATAGTTCAAAAATCAACTAGCTTTTTTTTTGTTGTTGTTGTGAATGTGTTTTGCATTTTGTATCTCACATCATATTAATATACAAAATATACAATAAATGGTTGCTTATGTCCATATTTACATTAACTACGAGCTGTATATCATAATGTGCTTTCTTTTGCTAACAAACTATTAATACTTCAGGTGCTTTCGTTTATTCTACGAAAAGGTATTTGGTATAAATGACACAAAAATAAAGCAGCAATAGCAAAAACACTACACAGTTTTTGTCTCATTAACAATGCTTGTTTGGGCTCATTTTAAAAACATAAATTTATTAGGACTACAAAATATTTATTTCATAAACAAAACACCTTTATCATTATAGATAAATAAAAATAAATTGCCAATGTTTAAGAAACTCACATGAAGAAAAAGAAATGAATACATTTTCAAAGGTCTTATCGAACAACCTATTAAAGTTATTTGTAGACTTTTAAAAAAAAGATATTATTACAATATCCATAAATGGAATAAAATTATAAAAAACTTACCTTCTAATACTTTGATGGAGCAAAATCTTTTCTTGAAATGGCTTGTATCCATTTTTTTCGAAGAAAATCCTCTTTTGGGAATCCAAATATTTGTACTGTCCCAGTGCCTTTATAATTGTTATTGCAATTCTGTGCAACTAAGTGTAGACCATTGTTTTATGATCTTATCCAAAATCGTCACAAATAAATTGAAAATCTGCAATAAAAATGTAGAAAGCTGCGAACTGTACAGGAAGAACAATCAAAATGGCGCAGGCGAGTAAAGTGAACTTCAAATCAGGCGGGATTTCTATACCTACTACATGTGAAGCCACAAGCCTCTCTCATTTCAGTCGCCAGGCCTTGTATCTAGGAGGTGTTGGTCAGGCAGACCTTTACAAAGACTACCTAATAATTAACTGTGAAATAACTTTTCTGGCTTTCTAAGAAGATTGAATGTACTCGTAATTTGGGGGTATAAACGTGTCATTCATGCGGATCATTTTGTCTTAGTCTTAAATCTTAAATTTGTCAGAATACAATACTCCATTATTCTGGAAAAAAATAGATTTTAAAACGTACAGTCAAATGCGTTTAACGTGGAAACGCTTAAGACGAAATAATGCAATGGTCCCGACAAACTCCTACGTATTTCCACGCATTTTTTTCTATTAACAAGAAACGGAAATTGCTTACACGAAAAGATTTCCCTTCTGGGATTGAACAAAATACGGAGAATACCGGCCGGCTTGGACTGTCCTATTGTATTATCGGAATAATTCATTGCAGTAGAAGATGTGTGTACAGCCCCAATTATGGCAGACTAAGACATTTTTTGGTTTGTTCATAGTTCAAAAAAATTTTTGATGCAGATTCCGACGAAGAAAATGAATAATGCAGCTCCTGTTCCCATAACATCCGAAATGAGGAACATCATGAAAAGTATGTGCATATGCACATTCCAGTGATAAAATGAATAATAAAATGGACAGTATCGAACAATTTGTTGACAATCTGATACTAAAGAAACATTTCTACGAAAAGCGTGCACAATTCATCCCTTGACTGTACCATGCGCGGAAGAATGCTCTTGGATGTTGCTTTCAATAACTACATTTACTCCTCGAATAAATTCATTAAAATTGTTAAATTTCTAACTTTTCAGTATTAAACAAAAAAAATAAACCCTTTATTATTATTATATTATTAGTCCGATTTCCACTGCAAAAACAGGGCGGTTCTCTATAACCCTTCTTAGTTTGTGCGTATAGTTTTCAAGGCCTGTATAAGAAAATACTCATCAAAAATCTACTGTGCACTAGTATTCTATTCTTTTTAAACTACACTATCTATCGGGAAATCCAGACTTATTTTGATTTTTCAATAACTATTTAAAATTCAGCATATTTATGCGACTTTGTTAAGAAATTATCAACAGTGCTTCGCCAGTGCCACTGATAAGCAAAAAAACCTTTTATATTGCAGTATTGCCGGTTCTGCCGCAAATTTTGCTATCAAATGAAGGATGTGTGCAAAGAGTAGACATTAATGGATATAATGGACCTATACACTGTTCACTAACATTCTATTTTTCTTAAAGTATCCAACTACCCTAAAATAGTGTATTTTGCCAAAAATTGACAAGTTTTTTTTATGATTTTATTTTATAGGCCATTTTATTAGCTTTATAAAAATGCCAAATTTATTATTTTCCATCCACTAGAACAGTGATTCCCAAAGGGGTCTATAACGACCTACAAGGGGTTTACATCGGCGAAAAATAATTTGGGGGTCTGCGACGGGGTAGCTCTCATTAAACCAGATCGTGACTTTAACTTTAAAAGGAAATTTAATCAAGTGGAAACCAGACTTACATATTTAACAAATTTATTTACTTAATTTAATGAGGTTAATTTGCAGTTATGCAAGGCAATAGAGCAAAAATTTTATTAAAACAAGGACCGTATTTCAGTCTTTCTTGCCAGAATTACACTAAAGGAGTATAGTTCCCCCAGTTTTTCAATTGTTACAGACAATCAACTAGGAAAAAAACGTTTGAACTTACGTCCAACATTTAAATGCCCTTTTTATTTAGATTTTGAAACCAGGTTTGAGAATGTTTTGACTATCATAATACCACAATAGCTAATGAATTCATACGGTCACTTTGCAAAAATAATTTATCAGATTACAAAAATTAGGCACTAGGAATAGGCACTAACGAAAACCTTAAAGTAAAGTTCAGAAACGGATGTCAACAATTTTGCCTTTAAAAAGATATATCTGTTATTTATTCTATATTATGAAATATCTTGAGATCAGGTCGCTTGCCAATCTCCAAAACAAAACAAAAAAGAAACAAGTATAGACTGGACAGTATTAACCGAGGAGATATTAGGGTTTGCTAAAATTCAAGATTAGGTATATAAGTAGAAGTCTACCCCAAACCAAAAAACATGACAAGCGGTCTATGAGACAAAAAAGTATGGAAACCTACACACTAGAACAAAAACTACGAGTGTTTCAGTAAAAGCAGATATACTGTAAACAAAATGTCGTACTTTAAAATGCGTTTTCTTCGAAATGTGTGTTTTTTTTTTAAAAAAATACTCAAACGGGGACAGCGATTGCTCAAAAATTTTTGAAAATAAATAGCTGAAATTTTTTGTGTATATTCTGTATAATAGTAGAAGTGTTTTAACTTTCAGATTTATCAATCACTGTTTTATTGCAAAATTTTGCAGTTCCGTATGTGAATATAATCACTGTATTTTTCAGTAATTTTATATAATACCAAACATAAAGTGCTCTAGTTTTTGTAAAAATGAAAATGTGTCTTATCCTGAAGGTCTTTCTAAAAATGAATACTAAAACAACACATCAAAATTGAAAAATTGAAAATTTGTTCACATAAACTTTTTGTACAGAATGGGCCCCGTTTATATATATCTATTTTTTTTGTAAATTTTTACCCACATTTTAATAATAATAACTTCATCTCTTCTTAGTTTTAGCATATTTTCTTAAAAAGTACTAAATAAGACTGAACACCACATGAAACCCCCCCATATTTCCACTTTAAGAAAAATGTTATCGCACGTAGTCGGATACATTAAGCTATGCTATGCTATCAGGAAATAGGAACTTATTTTGATTTTTCAATATTTAAAATTCAGCATATTTATTCGACTTATAGTAAGTTTTATTTTCAGAAATTCGTATGAAATTTTGCTTGATTGATAGAACTATATGTGGCCTGCGGCCGCCCCTTGCTTTGGCCTCCCGCTTGCGGAGTAAAATCCCTCGAGTAGCTGAACAGTGCGACGTTAATACTCACCCATTGACCCACGTGCGAAGCACGCGCTGCGCACCTGCTAGGATGGGCCCTGCATATTTGAAGTAGACATGTTATCCATGTGGTGCAGAAGCTCTTACTCAGAATAAGGTAAAAGGAGATGCACGGGGGGAAACATCTGCCTGATTCAACAATAGGAGTACAAAGGGGATAGCAATCCCTAGTGGCAGGGGAGATTCAGAGCTTTTACCACCGCTATTGTGAGCGTGAGAACATGGGGAACTTTACTGAAAAATTTAAAGACTTCCTAATTTAAACACTTAAGCCTACTATAAAATTGAGAGATGAAGAGATTAATGGAGTTGCGGTCCATTCAGTGGCGTAGGTGTGGTGAGCTAAGAACAAACGATATATAAAAAACAATTTAAGTCAATTCCTACATAGGTCAACAAAGAAAATTCTTATTTTAGATACTTTTTATTAAATAATTACAATTAAATTAAATTTGTATATACATATGACAGAATCGCAATATTAAGTGTCAAAATAGAAAGAGCTTTTCCTTGCAATTTTCAATTTTCCTTTCTACTATATAGGGTGTTGGACTATTACATTTTGTTACTATTTATTTATGAAACAAATTTAATTATTCCATTAAAATAGTACAGTAAAAAGAAATTACTTTCTCAGAAATTAGGTCATCTCAGGTGAAATTCCAAACCACGACCTTTCAATTAGAAGTCCAAAGCGCTATCTATTGCGCTACAAGGACGTAACGAGTGATTTTCCTTTTTACATATGGTGTTGGACTATTATTTTTGTTTGTCACTATTTAGTAATTTTTGAATTTAATTAATGAATTAATATTTGAAAAAACTGTATTAACATCAAGCGTTATCCACTACAAGTTTAAAAAATGTATTTGAGCTTGAGTGGATGAATAAAAAGTATTTTATTAACGACTGAAAAGACAGAGAGATAGAGAGTGTGTACTAATAGTAGGAATTGAAAAAAAGGGTCTACAATATTTATAACTTTATAAATACGGAACAAGCGCGTACTTGCATAAATGCAATAAAAAAATTTACACTCTTAAGACCGCGTTTAAAGCAAATCGCAAGATAATAAACATAATAATAATAGCCACAAATATAATAATACCAAATGACGCATTTATTATCAAACACAATTTAAAATACATTATTAAAGTAAACATTTTCATCTAAAGTTAGTTCTTGTAGTTATAGTCAGTAGAAGACTTATAGTTTGCATATTGTCAACCAATCTTGAATATTTTGGTATGTAATTATTAACTGCTAATCTTCAGGTGGTCCACCTGTCAATCGAGAACCACTAAATGACCACCCCTGCTCATATACGATATTCTTAGGTCCAGAACTTTTACAAGTAACACTTTATTTACCAACACGTAAATCATTTTATAAAAACCCGAATATGTCAGAAATCCCAAAAAGAAAATTGCCTTTTCAGAAATGTAACATATTCAAAACTGTTGAAGAAAACCAATGCAGAGTATGCCAATTAAGTGTCGAAGTATGAGGCGACACGAGGGCTACTGGTGACGGATCTTGTAATTTTGAACCACTGTCAAGTGACGAGGATGACGCCTGAGCTTGCACCCTTTTCCAAATATCTACACTATGTCAACAGGAGGACTTTAAACCTCAACAGATTTAATGTACATTATTCCTGTACACTACGAGACTTCAGTGGCGAGTGAGTGAGTATAGCCTGTATAGAAAGCAAAATCGTTTGTTGTGTCCTTGTTGTGTCCATTGAACTTCTAATCAAAGGTCGTAGGTTCGAATCCCACCTGGGATGGTCTAATTTCTGAGAATGTGATTTCTTTTTTACTATACTATTTTATTAGAATAATTAAGTTTTATATTAAAATGAATAACCAATAACAAAAAAAAATAGTCCAACACCATATATCGAAAGGAAAATGGCAAATTGCAAAGAAAATCGCTTCCTATTTTGTCACTTAATGTTTTTATTCTGTCATATGTCTGTATATACATATTTATAATAACTGCAACTATTTTAAAAAAAAATTGCGTAAAATATGACGTATAACATGCACATTTAAGATAAAAAATAAGTTTGAGATGTACGGGTGCGTGTTATACGCAGGGTATCAAAACGAGAACTTTAAGAATAAAAAAAAGATGGAGACATGGAAAAAAAAATTAGACTTCTACAAATATCGAAATAGTGTTAATTTAAATGAAATGACACATTCTCTTTATGAACTTACAGGGTTGTAGTTCTATAAGTTTACAAATTTTTCTAAAGCTTGGAATAATACCTCGAAGAAATAACATGAAAACATATAAGAGCCTTGCGCAATATAATAAAGTTTCTTGGTAAGAAAGGCGTTATGCGGCGAATGTACCTAAAAAGTCAAGATTGCAGCTTGCAAGTCTAGGTGCGCGTAATAATTGGAATTTTATGGAGATGGTGTATTTGATTTTGGAAGATTTTTTCTCATAGTAAAATCTCGGTGTTGAGATTTTCCTTTTCGCTTTTATTTTTTGAATGTTCTATTTTTTAAAAATATTGATGTTTTTGAAAAGTATGATATGAAAAATTTAAATAAAGTACTTTATTTATGCTTCTGGATATGTTTAGCATTTATTTTATGATGTTATGATAGAATTTGTCTCAAGATAATATCTTATAAATTTTTAAACTGAATCTTTTTTCCCTTTTGTCTTTATATCTTGAAATCCCGTGATGCATTAAGATTCCTCGATTGTTCACGAGTTGCAGTGGCGCCTAAAAGTGAGGCTTTCTGCTTCAATGAACCGCTCATGTCTGTAAATTACCAGACGTGTGAAGGCTTTTCCGTTTGGTCAAGAATGCTTATTATTTTTAATGTGATGTGGGTGGAGATCGTTGGTTTCGTTGGTTTTGGTTGGTGGATGGATAAGTTGATCCTTTGACTTTTAACAGCTGGATTGTTTTCACGACGGAAGTTTGGCGAAGTTTGCTATGACTCACATAGATTGTATTGAAAAAGAAAAAGAGATTCAAGTGGGAGGGGAACTACGAGAAAGGTGGGAAAAAAAGACTAGCTTTTTGTTCTGTGAGTTCTTGAAAACTTTGCTAGAGTTTTCTATGCTACTGTTTTTCAGATTTAATTTTGGAAAAAAAGAATGCCGTATAGTCTTTCTGAAGAAATCTTTGGAAACGAGTTGATTTATTGTCTTATTTATATTTTTTTTCTGATAAAGGAGCCGGAGGTGTTTTGGAAAGATTTCATCAAAGTAACTTTATCGTTGGTATGTTCAGAATCACTTGTGAAATTTATATACTTTAAAATACAGCGTATAACGCGCACTTTTAACACAAAAAGTAAGATTGAAATGTACATGTGTGCGTTATACCTTGGGTATAAAAAGGACAGCTTAAAAAAAGAGATGTGTATAAAAATAATCTAGGCTTCTACATATATATCGAAATGCTGTTTTTTTTTAAATTAAAAAAAAATGGTATACCTTATGAACTTAAAAAGTTGCAGTTTTAGAAGCATGCTATTTTTTCAAAAACCTGAGATATTACTTTGAATAAGCGACTTAAAAACATAAGAGCATTGCTTATGTACATTTTAGGTTTCTTCATAAAAAACGGGGATGTGCGTTATACTGCAAATATACCTCAAAATTAAGATTCAGCTTGGAAGTAAAGGTGCTCGTTATACGGCGGCGCGCGTTGTACGCCATATTTCACGGTAAATAAAATAAAATTTTTCTTTGTTGACTTAAGTAGGAATTGACTTAAAATTTCTTTTATATTACTCGTTTACTTGTATAGCACACCCAAAAGACAAAATATACATTCATGATCAGTAGGGCCTCGAACGCTGTTTTCTGTTCAGAAAAAAAAAGGATCATAAGCGCCAAAAGTCCTCTGTCACCCTTCCAGTAGCTAGTTAATTGCTCAGTATAATTGCTTCCCTATGGTGTGCAATTCTTTCCATGAGTAGTCATTCTAACAAACTACCCCGATAAGAGGTTTTAAAGTTTACGTCCTTTCAATCTGCGTATGCCACTAATTACTTTGTGATTTTTTGAAAAATAAGCTGCTGAAAATATGAGGGAAAATATGAGATAAATACCCCAGTGGTACTTTTAAAAGCAAAATTTGAAAAATTGTAAAGATATTGCCAAAATGTTCATCTTTATCCTACGGTCAACCAGTCAGTCTCATTTGGATTGTAACGGCAAAAAGGCTTTTTTTTTCATTATTTCCTTATACTGAATAATAGAATTCATAATACATCCGACTTTATTTTTACACGGTTGATACGTCTCGTGAAATACCGTGTAAATCCTCGTAGAGCTATATTTGTGTAGTAAAAAGGAAGTTAACGTTCCACGTTCTTTTAAGTCATGTAATATGAAATTAAGAACGTGCTTTAAAAATTGCATACATCTATCATGAATCTTAAACGTATAAGTTTCAGTAAATGATTAAAATAAAATGAGGAACGCATACATATCGCCTCAACATAGGAAAATGTATTAATAATATTTGAAATAATATTGAATTATGCACCGTTTCTTGTATATTACGCCTTTGTTAATGCCGAGATGAGTAGAAATCGCTATCTTTAATATATAGGCCTATTATACCTGATGAAGATCAATAATGGTTCTCACCCTTTAATTATGCTGTTTAGATACGTTAATATCTCAATCCCCACAAATATTTCAGAGTCTCCATCATCTTAGTAATATTTTCGAAATCTTACAACCGTATATAGCCTTTTCCTTTTCAAACGAAGAATTAAAAGTAGGCCGCAAAACGAAATCGTAAATATGTGTTGAGGGCATAATACACAATATTTATAAATACTTAATTGCTTTAAAAAAAGTGTTTAAAATCTGAAATTGAGAAAATCCATTCTATCAAGGAGTTAGCAGAATTATTGTTAATAAATTTCAATAGCCTCACCTCTATAGTTTTCCGGACGTTATAGCAGTATGCCTGCAAATTTTTACTCTTCTGACCATAGTTTCAACAGCTGAAAGTGGCCGTGGTAGCCTAGTGGTCAAGGAATCGGATCATGGCTGGCATGTCACGTGTTCGAGACCAGTACCAATAAAAACTCACTGTGTAGGGAAGTGTTGCACGTTAAGTCTGTCGAGAGCTCAAACATCCTCCCATTGGTGGGGTTTAGTAGTTTGGAGAGGGGATGCGGGCTCAGGTGTCGTCATTGTCACTTGACCATGGTTCAAAATTACGAGGTCCGTCACCAAAAGCCCTCATGTAGCTGAACAGTGCTTCGTTAATATTCATTCATTCAACAACTGAAAAAAGTTTTTCTATACTAAATATTATGAGAAATTTTCGTAAAACTTACATGGGACAAGATAGGTTATCGATCTTAGCTATATTGTTAATAGAAAAAGAAGAATTATAGAAAAACTGAAATTCTTTTCTGCGAAGAATGTTAATATAAATCCGTTTGAAGAAAAAATTGTGAAAAGTACTACCTATAAAACCACTAGACTAATTCCTTAGTAATATTTTTAATACATTTGTCTATACTGTGTATATCTAATAAGCGTATGTATACGTATCTTGTTGCCTTTCAAGAACGTTTTATCTCAATGCGATCATTTTTATTTATTTTCCAAAAAAGAGCTCCAAGAAATTTTGATGCAAGACCCATTCAGAAATAGCTATACCGGGGCCCATAGATCAAAAGATTTTTAATTTTTAGCATAAATATTACATCTCGAT